GCGCGTTACACATAAACGTTCTAATCAGTAAATATACATAATTAAAAACCATGTTGTTGAAGTGTTGTAATGTTTCTTATTGTTTATATTTTTCGGACAAAGACAAATAATTTTTCCCACGGGTTGGCCGCTTTTAACTGGAAAAACATTTTGCCATTGATTCATCTATCTATCGAGCTGTAGTTTTCTCTTAGAAAGTCATCCGCGAAGGCATCCCTCCTCTTAGGCAGATAGCCTTCGAGTGGTTTGCTATAATTAAATAAATAAAACCAAAAATCAGTTGAGCTCTCGAAGAATGTATCACCTTCAGAGGCATTACATTTTCAGACGTAGCACAAACAATCTGTCCATATAATGACATCAGTCCATGTAATCTATGCATGACGTTTGTCCATGTAATGAACAATTCTATCTTCGGTGTGAATGTCGCAGCAGAGTTTTAGTGACATTTCTCCCTAAAATTGCTTCCTTCAGTCAAAGGGTAACAGTTCAACCTCCCTGTTATGGTTTTCTTTTCCCCTTTTAATTTCCCTTCACTCTACTTCTAACCTCTCTAACTGAAGGGACATCTCCCCGATGGTGACCAGCTAAAAACCCACCCAACTAAAGTACACCCAACAAAAGCCCATTAAAATAATCCTACTATGATAATTCGCGAGCGACAAATCTCACACGGATGAAAGCGCATATAGATAATATCCCACATTAATAAGATCCCAGATTGGTATAAGTTAACACTGATTAAAAGGACACACGAATAAAAGAACACGTGGTTTTTATCAATAAATATACATTTATGATTGTAATTATAATAAATGAAGTATTTGAGTCTGATTATTGATGTCTCGAAAATATGTCGGTTTATATAATATTAACCATCCGCGACATTCCAATTTCGGTTTCTCTTTGACCGCTAGAACTTAGCAAATATCTTATTGCGTGATTGTGCTTAACTGAGACCAACACTTGCAAGTTAATAAGCTGCTTGTCAATATTCTTTGGATATCTATACCGCAGACCAGCGTTATGATTTTGAAATGGTATAGTTTGTAAATGGAAAGCTAAAACTGAACTCATCTAATTTAAATTTTAATATGTAATTCATCTTATACATTATTTCATTTTTTTTACACTCCCTAAGGCATTCGAGGAAAACGAAACAAAATGTTCGAGTGAGAATCGGGAGTTTAGTTCAGAATTTATATAAATATTTATTAAACCCAACTTTTGCACATAATGTGTTTTTGAAAGTTTTACATTACTTATTACTTGAAATTGTAGCAAAATGCATATACAGAGAGTTTTACACATTTTTTAAACAATTTCTAGGCCGTTTAATTAAATTTTAAAATGTAAAGACTGTTTTGAAATGTTCAATCTGATAGCTTTTTTTCTTCTTTTTTAAAAATAATAATTCAGCATCGAGATTTCCAGGATAGTAAGATTTCTCGCAAAATTTTCAGGGTTAATGATTTAAATTCCTCTTCACCTTTCCAGAGTCCATCAATCGTTGTGGGCTTGCGCTTAGAAAGAGCTCTTTCTAAGTGGCTAAAAGTACAATAGTCCATAGGTGAAACGTCAGAAGGCTTCACAGGAATACGTTGAAAATGTATATATGCAATACCTGTATCAGTCTTCACATTATTTCAGGGAAGGCAGTGGTATTTTTCGAAATACGACTTGTTGCTTTGTCCTGAAGAAATTTAATTCTAAACGTATTGGGATAAAGGCACTGAATTTCTTTCGTAATATCGGGCGCAAAACTTTCCTTTGATAGTATATTGGTTGATTTTAACACTTTCCCCTATTCTTATTTTTAATTTCCTACCGTAAGAGAATCCTGCGACAATCATAAACTGCCTGCTAAAACTTTCGCGTGAAACCAGGTTTGTGCAATTTTTCTCTTCTCGATAATAAAGAGACCTTTCTTTGTAGCAGTTATTTTAGGTAAACTCAAGCATCATCAATGGGCACAATGCATTTTTACTGATTTCCTGCTAAATAGCTTTCATACAGGGTTTTACAAATTGTTCTGCGTTGAGCCAAATGCCTCGGCAAAAGCTGGTGAACATAATGCTTTTCAGCTATTTTAAGTCGTAAATCTTGGTTTATTATTTTATTTATTGTTGATACAGGGGCATTTAAAGACTTTGCAATTGATTTCTGCATCGGCGAATTCCTTGCTTTAAGATCGAGTAAAGTTCTTAGATTGTTTCGACTTACCAGAGCTTTCAAATGCCCCCAAAGCCAAAAATCGCATGCACCGAGGTCTGGGGATCGAGGATGCCACACAAAAGTGCCAGCTGATGACACGTTCTTCTGTAAAATAACGGTTAAGAACTTTCGCAGCCCACCATGCTATGTGTGGAGGAGCTCCATCTTGCATAAATATTGTGCGTGCAAGGCCAAGCAGAGCCAGAGCAATTTTTTTGCCTAACAGCGATGCATATCCCTGCCCGGTGATCGACATGTAACTGGACTTGTATAACTTAACTCCTCGAAGAAGTACGGGCCGAGAATAAATGATGCAGAAATTCCACACCATATTGTCCTTTTTGGTGAATGCAACGGAACCTTTAAGACAGAGAGCAAATGAATTACCAGTGAATGTTTGTAAGGATATCGTAGGATGTTCAGTAAGATCTTATGGACAGTTAAACGCCGCCTATTCAACGCCTATGCTACACGCCGTACAATGTCGCTAGCCTAAAAGTTTGCGTCCTCTACCACCTAAAATGCAACTTTCTGTCCTGCTTCTGCAAAACGGGTTTTCTTCCTCTTCCAGGAAGAACAGAAAACGATCCTGTTTCTTCATATTTTGTTATCATTTTCCAATGGCTTTCAAGATTCATTGGACCTCTTCGAAACTCCTTCAAAATCCGAAATTTCTGTAAAGAAGCTACTGCGGAATTACTCTTTCGGTGAAATAATTTTATTAAGAAAACACGATCTAGCAAAATTATCATCATCGTAAGCAATTAGCACATTGAAAACAAAATCTTCGCGAAAGTTTCTAGGGTTTTTGTAATAGCTGCTGCGTGACGTCGACAAAGATTTACATTTTTACTGTGGTTTTGAAAGTAAAACGCCCTCCAGTGATGCCATTTGTAACAAACAATTAGAAACATTCGATCCTCAGTTTTTAGCTAATTTATTCTAAGAGACACTTTTCTGCATCCCTGCAATTAGTAGTATCAGATTAATTTTTTGATCTAAAAGTTCGGAGTATAGAAAAAAATTACATTCTTCAAGACCAGAAAAATCAACTAACGTGTTTCCTACACCTTTTCCGGTTATTTAATTGGTAGTTTCTTTAAGCAAAGAAGTATACGTTTAGCAGGTCAAGCAAAGTTAACCTATTTGCAACTTCTGTCGGTCGATAAACAACACAGATTTTAAACGACATGCTGCGTGATTCTATATTCTACATCCTGGCAATAATTATGTACCATTTTTTGTTATTATACAAGCTTAAAATGGCTTTTATTCTATCTCTTACTCTTCAACATCTGTTAGTAAAGGTTAGTTATTTTTTAGTTAGTAATGATATTCATAGCCATCAAGATTAAGGTTGGTCAACATGTCTGACAAACATTCTTCTAATTGAAAGTGCTCCTAGGCTTTTCAGAACTTCTTATGGGCGTCAAATTTAGTCATTTTAGGTACCTTTTCTTTTTATAACTGCATCTCTAATGATACGGTATGAAATATAATAAATGGGAAAATTATCACTGGCATTTCCAAATAACAAGAAATAGACAAAAATTAGTTTTAGATTGTAGGTGTTACGATTCATTTTTCCTTATGATCCCGATGACTCGTGCGTTGTGTTCCCCAGGACCTGTTGATGTCAGACGACTCTTTTCCTCCTCCTGCATCTCATGGAATAAATGGGGAGTGACGCTGGTGGAATGGATTTAAAGAGCGGGGGAAAAAAGAAAACTACGAAACTGCTCAGGTTGGCGCAGTTCCAGACGATCTCTGCAAAGGCAGACTGCTTGCTGTTTGCTTAACCGGCGCTTCGCCTTACCTACAAAATGAAACATGGGATTCATTTCCTTTTTGTTGTGGTTTACTCCCCACGCGAAGATATACAGTCAAGATCCCCAGTGCTCCCATCTCGCGATGGACTGCTCGTTGATGGAAGAAAGAGTGCGCTGCTCGAAGATTTTGGATGGTGGTCTCATTTGTGGTAGAATAAACAGCAGGCGTGTTATCTTTATTCTTTAAGCGGCTGGAATAGTCTCAAGCCGCTCGGAAAGTTATAACTCTTACATCTTAAAGCTGATAGTTAAACAAGGAAGCGTTTTGGAAAGTTTAACGCAATTTCAATTTGTTGATGAATAGTTTACATTCATCGATAGAAATAACTCTCGTGTGCAAATAAGAATAAATTATATGTGCAAATAAGAATAAATTATAGCTAGAAATCCGGGTCTAGGGAAACTTCACCATTGTACTGACATTTATTTCAGTATTAAATAGCCTGGATGCATTCAGAGGATGTTCTTCCTAGCAGTAAAATATTTTTTGCAACTATTTTTAATACATTTTGAATAATTTCCTTTAGTGTCAGCTACTAATACATTGCTTCAGTTTTCCTTTTATACAATATATCGTGCAAGCAGTACATGTAGGTATAATACTGTATACTTGTACGATTACGTAACAAGTACATATAGAAATGATTTGTTAATACTGAGTAATTAGTACGAAAACTAATATACGATATATATATATATATATTTTTTTTTTTTTTGTAACAGTCGATTTACACCAGAGAAATGAATAGCAACGTTATTTTTTAAAATTAAAAAAAGGAAATTCTAAATACCAATTTTTTAAGTTAAAACTTTCTGGCTGATTATAGTTAGGAATTTAAACAATAAAAATTTCATAAATAGATAAACTTTTGTATAATATTGTTTTAGATATATCAAGAAACTACTCTATTTCTGTCTCGTTTTCCTCATTTTATCATCTTTCTTGTTTTTTTACAGCCGGAGCACCTACCGTGAGGGGTCTGAATGACATAAACGTCCAAGTGAACTCCAAGTTAAAATTGACGTGCATACTCTCAGGAAACCCACCTCCACGGGTAGTATGGTTCAAAGACGAACTCAGGATCAGAGCTGATAAAAGCCATATCAAAGTGAGATCTAAAAGGTGAGGCGAAAAACAAACATACTTTGCAGTTGGCTTATAACTAGTTACAATAATTTCTTCTAGGAAATGAAACAAATTGCTTTCCTTCATTTTCTACAAAACGTACATAAAAGAATGGTGCAATTTCAAATGTTAATAACAGAAATTTTTCGTTTTAGACGGGGAATAAGACACATTATAAAAGAAAATATGATTAAACTTGGTTAATTGATATTAAATCTATACTAACTCACTTATTCGATTCACACCATTAGCGAAGAAACTATCCAAGATTCTCGTATATTTCTTGCAGTTCGTTTGTCACGCTTAATGTAGGAATGAGGAGTTAATTTCAATATATTGTCGAAGCAGAAGGCTGCCTGTGTGCCCATTTTGAGATGCGGTTGATGTTAAGTCACTGCGACTTTTTTTTTTTTTTTTTTTTTTTAATTACGCTGTACATCGCAGAGCATAAGTGCGAAGTGCTTTCGGAGAGTGATGTCAATGCGATCGGTCTCCGAAAGTTAAGTGTGGTGTCTCTCGAAACGGTGCATATTTTCCGTCCCCTTAAAGTGTCTGTTTAATATGGCACTTGTGCAATAGCATTGAACACCAGTCAAAATTTTCAAAAATATTAATAGCTTAACCCTTATGTCGTTCCAAACAGCAATATTTTAGCGTTTTAAGACTTTGAACCTTTCTTTCATAGTTTTCTCAAACTAGATACATCACCGGATCCAAAAATAGGAGAACATTCATGTCTGCGTTAACTACTATCTCTTTCTTTCCAATTAAAATTTCGATAGCTTTCTTATAATCATCTCCTTTTAATGGTAGTCGGTTTATGGCTGTACTATTGTCGCGTTGTGACTAATATCACTTGCCTTACCTCATCAAAATAAGCTCACGAAATTCATCATGGCAAGGAGCACATGATTACACCTGTCATTGGCAAGGGCCTCGGTCACCATATAGGGGCAGTACGATTTTTCCCAGTTCCATCCCAATTTTGAGCGACAGCACCTCGGAAGGTGGGTTCGAGGATTTCCCATTCTTATTTCTCTACCAACAAACCATACATGAAGACTTTCGGCTCGCCATATATTTAAAGTGCCCCCATGGCGCGTAAACAATATGAATTTACAAACATCAATGCCTTCTCCTGGATACGAACCCGGGCCTTTCAGTACGGTAGTCAGAGTCATTAACTATGTACTAACCCGTCTGGGTGGCTCGGCTTATGGCTTTAGCTGCCGAACTGGCGCGAAGCAATCTTAAATAATTTAATTTCTCAGGCGTTCATTTTGTGAATGATGACGAAGTCATAAAGTAGCCAGTTCTTAAAATTTACATAAATCACCATTAAAAAGTTCCTAAAAATAATACGGGGTAATTTAGCATTGTAATTAGTTTTGATTTCAGAAAACTGCGAAGTTGTTTTGCCATTTAACTGAATATTTTCGTATCTATTAAACCATTAATTTTCATTAAACCAGCTGACGCCTGCACAATGACTTTCAATACACAAAGAGCTCACTAAAAGTCTCATGTATTCTAAAAAATATAAAGTTTCCAATTTATTTGATATTATTAGATACATTTGATAGGCATATGATTTTAAGTTTGTGTAAAACTGAACATTGTGTTACATTCTACTTTACTAAACTTATAAAGAGACAATAATAATTATTAAATATTTACCAAATTAGCGTTTCGTTTCGTTTTGCATTTACGTATGATAAGGAAATTATGGCATCCCTCTACGTGGAATCTTGTAGTGAAAGTCGTTATATTGTCCACAAAGAAATGTAGAACACCCTTGGTTCAAGTATCGGCGGTCGTACAGTTCATTTTTCACGTTCTCGTTTCCGAGAGCCTAACAGTTTCTGCACTGTCATCCGAATAAAAATTCTAATGCACAATAACACATTGTAGCCTCTTCCCAACAGATAAGTAATGATAAGTAAAGTTTTCGCCCAATGGAAATGAAGTGGGTTCGGAAAAAAGAGCCAAACTATTCTAAATTTGTTTATTGGTAATTCCAATTACATCATTAATAAACTTATGTAACTATGAAACCTCATCAAATAATTTCATATTTTGCACATAAGATAACACAGAGAACAAATACACTGTACAGACATTAGGTATTTTTTGGAAGCAGGAAAGATGAAAAATTAGCAACGCCTTCACCGGGAATCGAACCGTGGACCTCTCAATTACACGCTGAGCGTGCAGACCACTACACTACGAAGGCGGGAGAAATACCTTATAACACTAATATTACTGCACAGAAGCTAACTTTTAAGTCCAGTTCTGTATTTAAATGTCTCTAATTTAGCAGATATTTAAACTTCATTTAAAATACTAAACTGCAAACCGGAACTCTGTCATACTACATGAAAAGTCTTACATTAATAAATACTGAAGTTCCACTAAATTAGGGAAAGTCAGCATTATAGCATTATGTACATACGGCGATGCTGCCTGATTCCTGTGCAAAGAGGGCGCTGCCATATGATCAGAAAAGTGGCCATCTGTACGCACTTTTCAAAGTAACAAGATGGGTAAAATTCGAGATTTAAATGCCTTTTAACTAGGACAAATAATAGATGCTCAACGCATTGGTCATTCCGTTTCAGAAATAGTTCCAGAATCGCAGTTTTCTCGTTCCAAGGTATTAAGAGTATAAAGAGAGCGCACAGAAAGTGGAAGAACAAAGATTAAAGTTGCAGGGATCAAGTAGCCTTGAATTATTGTGATCACTAAACCATATCGCATGTAGTCAGCGACACCATACCTTAGCACAGATAGCTTCCATAACGAATGAGGGGTCCAATCAAACAGTCTGTAGACGGACATTGCAACGCTCGCTTCATCGTCTGAACTTAGAAGCTAAAGCCATACGACGTCGTGACTGAACGATCGACGATTAAAAGCAAGTAACAAAGTCTCAAATCCCACTGATGAGTGTTGATGAGATCACAGCATCACGATGAAAATATGACGCCAATCCCATGGAACCATAGATCCAGCGTACCAGGCTGGAACTATACAAAATCATGACGGCTTAATAATGGTCTAGGATATTTTCTGACTGAAATGTTTCGACTTTTAATACTCGCACTTACAACGTCGCTGTATCTTATTAAGCAGATCTGCTAGGCATTCATTTACGTCCCTTCATAGTTTTTTGCCATCTGTATGGAAATGGAGTGTACCTGCAAGATAACTGCTGCTATCATAGATCCCGGTTGGCTATCACATTCTTCGAGGAGCATTTCACTGAATCCTCCGTGCCAGCATGACTACTGAGAAGATTGGGTTTAAATCCTATCGAAACCTTTGAGGTACTCTGGCAAAATATGAGCAAACACGTTATCCACTACCAGCGTTTTTAACTGATTTATATATGAAACTCTAGAAAATATTTGGCAGGTTGCACTTCTAGAAGACTTCCATAGGCTTGCATGATAAAGCATGGATTCACGATGCTTCATCGCGTGGCAAGCGTTATTAAGGCTAAAGGAGCACCTATGTATTACTAGTAATCTGGGTATCCATAATTTAGTGGCATTCAGTATAGTGTATAGTATTTATACTAACGCTAAACTAAAAGAGACGCGTAATTTAAAAGGTATTTTCAAAATGAAAAATATTTTTAAGACTTATAGTCATTTCTTTACCTTGTAGAAGTTGTCATTTTCTTTAATTAGAAGCTAGCAATAGTCGCCTATAAAGTTGGGGGTCCATCTAACTTGATTTACTGCGCTATTTAGTGAATATCCTGAAGGAATCTTTCTGAATTCCCACCAAGACTTTTTTTGTGTGAATTTAGAAGCTGTACGCGACAAGTATATTAAAAGTAAATTTTCAGAGACCTTCTATATGCTAGCTTATGTTAACTGTCCAAAAATTCTAGAAATATTTATCTGTAATTTTTTTATATATCATTTCCTGGAAATCCATGCATCACTTTAACAAAGCTGTTCCTAGTTCCATATCGTTTAACTTCTTAGGAAAGTTTTAATTTATCGAAGCTTCGAAGCTGACCAAAATCCTCTCTCCCGTCACTTAATTTTTAAAACTGACTTTAAAATGCTTTCAAACCTTACCCGTTTTTAACCATGCTTTAATACAGTTAGGTCTAATTTTCCATGTAGTGGCAGTAGAAACACCAGTCAGGTTTATCAATTAAACATATCTAATGTTATCTTGTTGTGTTATAAATGATTTTTGTTGTGGCCAGTCTTCCACAGTGAAGAGTGAGCCAGTAGCTGTGCTATATCACAAGCAAAGAAAATAATAAATTTTATATATGCTCCTTACAAACCTATCAAAATGGCAATGATATTTAAATCCCAGAAGATTTTCGAAATACATATTCTTTCTGTAATGCATTCCATCTAATAATAAAGACAGCCTGTAATATATTCCCTTCATTTCTACTTGAATATGAATCACTTTCCCAAAGAAAGTCTCCACACGAAAGCGTTATTCCTCTTATCAGGCAAATAGCCGTAGTGGCCGTAGTAGTATTCAAATAACGTAATCTTGATTTCTAAGGCATGTCCTCACTGGTATTAATGGCTCTGTATTCCCTCTATGTAATTATTACTTCACAAAAGGAGCTTGGAAAATTTGATACTTAATTTGGACGTGCCTATGAACAATTTCTGTTCTGAAAGAATGTGTTAATAATCTAGCTTTTTCATCAAACCATCAATGTTTCATGAAGTCAATTCCTTTGATATGTTTGAAACTTTCCATATTTACTGGTGTCGAAATAGCGTGGTTTATGAACATTACTGAAATCCCATGGGTACATCGCTTTTTGCAAAGGGGACTGAAATCCAGTAAAAAGGACTTTTATAGGTAAATTTCAAGATTTTCTCTCTACATTGGCTACACTTTATATAATAGCTGAATGATTTATGAGTCATTTATTTGAAAATCTCTTGACATGAAAAGATTTACCGTAAAAGGCAGAAAGAAGGAATATGTTCGTATTCGTATTCCTTAAAGTATCAGATAAAAGCGGATTTATATGCCTATTTTCATTATTAATATTTCATTTTTAATTCAGTATTAACTTTGCAATATAAGACGAGATACTATACCAGGCCATAAAAGGGGGTCAGAATGCGGTTCAATCACATAATGAGCAACAAGACGAGATTCTTTCACAAAAATGATTCAGCATAGATTCCTGTTAAAATTTTATTTCAGTGAACAGATATAAAATATAAAGTGTACACTGCTAATATTAACTCGAAAAAATTATGAAAACACTCAAAACAATGACTTAAAAAATTTGTAAGCAATGGTCTTAATGGTGATTCTATTTTGAAACTGCAAAGTTAATTAAGATTACATTTATATTGATGCTAAGATATAAATGTAAATTGGTTCATGTAAATGTAAATTGGTAAAAAATTTCATTTTTGATAAAATGAAAGTTAGATTTCAGAGTAAATAAAGAATTCAAGACACCAGCTTCTAACTATAACCAAACTCTTAATTTTCTGACTTTTATTTCAATTTCTTTTGATTTTACTTAAAAGATTAGAATAGCATAGATTTTAGCAAATTATTAATGTATAAAATCGTTATGTACTTGAATATTACAAAATCAAATTTTATTTTTTTCAGACGAAACTCCCATTTAGTAATTAACAAAGTGATGTTGGAGGATGGTGGTTTGTATAAATGTTTAGCAAAAAATATTTTAGGAAATGCCACTGCATCTGCCACAGTTAATGTGACATTAACAGAAACAGGTACTTTTTTAAAATTTTTAAACTAATTAAAAACTATGAAATAATAAATATTATTCTCATACTTAACTATTAGTAGTAGCATTTTCTTTTTTAATATGTGTATGTTTTACATCTTATTCGTGCAGGGAAAAGAATACTTCTCATTCTTCTTTAAAAATAAATTGAATTCATTTTATATGTAAACACTGTTGCATGAACCAAACTAGTGTAACTCACATAGTAATTTAGATGTCAAACAACAAAAATCAACGTTATATTATCAAATTTTCTCTGTGAAAATTTGAAATTTGAAAATATAATGCTGATTTTTGTTGTTTGACTTATAAATTAATATTTGTTCGACGTGTTATTGTATCTGAATGAGTGTAACTCACGTAAAATAATAAAAACTGGCGGAAAAGCCCGCCAGATGAGCGGGCTATGGCCAGAGCAATATTTACAAGTTCTGCGTTTTGAAAAACTGTAAATAAAATGAACTATTAATGTACTATATACAAATTTGCTAGCTGCGACCAAAGCAAAATTTATGAGTTCTATGTACACCTGAAAAGAAGGTGCATAAAAGCATTTAAGTACGAATTCGAATACGTCAGTTGATTCTTCCCAAGAAACAGCCAATTCATAAATATTTTTGTGTTGCCAAACCAGGAAACAAAAACTTTGGATACTTCAGGTTAATACGTATACGTATGACATCGTAATTTTAATTTAATGTAATATAAAAACTTTTTCTAAGTATCAATGAAAGAATTCATTCTTAATCTGAAACAAAAAAGTTGCCATCAGCAGCTATTTATTTAAAATGCTGACATTAACGAAACATTTTCGACATACAATGACGTCACATGAAATCTCGTGCTCTGTTCAGTGTCAGACCATGACGTTATATAATAGTAATATATTTAATGTTTGGCAATGCTATTTTTATTTCATATTTTGTAAACTTACAGATTTTTTTGTTAACAAACTTTACTATCTGAAAGCCAGCAGTGGCAACATTTTTCGAAATAAAGCAGATCTTTATCTAAAGCCTGCGAGAACTGTTGCCATTCGGAAAAATGAGAGCCCAAATTAGCGTTTTTCAAAGTTTTTTATTACTATCTGGGCTGATCAAAGTCGTACGAAGATGAGAATGTTCGAAATGGCTTCTCAGGAATTTTTGGAATTCGGGAATACCTCTCTCGAAACTCAACTCCTCGCCGTTCCGAGGAGATATTGGTACTGTGATAAGGTTACATAAAAGAAAAAGAGACTGAAGATTTATATGGACAAGGATGTCTCGTGAGCATAAGCTGAAAATTATTATTTTTTAACTTACAAACACGTTTTCAATAGTTGTTAAAATAGTTTTATTAAAATAATTAAATCGTTGGCAATGTTAAAAACGCAAGCTCGAGAGCCACGAATTGCTCTCGCACGTAAAATGTATAGAATTTGATTTTTGGTGATAGATAGGTTTTTCTCTGCAGAATTGTATGTAGCCATTTTTTTTTTTTTTTTTTTTTTTTTTTTTTTTTTTTTTTTGCGTTCAATAAAATTTTTATGCTGTGTTTTGTTTTGAACCTGATGTCACAACCCAGGTTTTGCATAGCGGTTTCGGCCACTACACCACAGCAGTAAATATTAAAAGTTGGTGGCAGCTTTTAGGGATTGTTCCTGAGAGTAAATTTAGGAACGGACTTTTCGCCTGTGAACTTGAGTTTTATGTGAACAGTCAAGACTTTCTTCTCTTCACAAGAACGATCTAAGTTTTTGCGTGCAAGGACAGTTCGCGTGGTGAAGCCTCTTCAGTGACAAGTGACAGTGTGTCAGAAGGGAACGCCGGAGGAAGCGTGATCTAGTGCCGCAAAATAGTGAAATTTCCCGGAAGAATATCCAAGTAGTGCCAGGAGAGTCAATCGAAGGCGTCTTCAAAATTGGTGAGTACCATTTTTGTGATTTTGGAGAAGTTATGCCAGTTATTCCAGACTAGGCTTATTTTGGATATAGAGCAGGAAAAGGTTGCCTCTTAATTAGCATTTTTTATATATACGCTTTGTTTGTAGGCATAGGTATTATCATTAAGTGTTGTAAGGCAATTTGTATTCAGAATTGTTAGGGAATTATTCAGTTTTGGAGAGATAGACCTGTTGTTGTTTTTGTATTATTGTTTTTCGGGATAGGTTATTTTTCTTTAATTTTCCATAATGGGTGAGTTTATGAGGAAATTTACTAAAGCTCTGCTATTGGAGTTAGCGGAGGAGTTTGAAACAAATGTGTCTCAGGCAAATAGAGTAAGAGAAATTAGACAGGCTATTCTAAATGCCGAGGACTATGAAGAAGAAGCTGCGAAAGAATACGCGGCAAGAATTTGGGCTGCGGCTGAGCAGAGAAAAGCAGAAGAAATAGCCGAACAAGAGAAAGCAGAACGTGAACAAGAGAGAGCAGAGCGGGAACGTGAACAAGAGAGAGCAGAACGGGAACGTGAACAAGAGAGAGCGGAACGGGAACGAGAGCGAGTTTTTGAATTGGAAAGGTTAAAACTGATGAATGTGGTTCAGACTAATAGCCTAGCTTCCACGGTTTCGAAAGTTGAACAATCTAGAGAAAAAAAAAGGTTAATTTGAAAGATCTAGTACCGCGTTTTGAACCGAGTAATATAGATATTTCATTATTCTTTATGCTATTTGAGAAACAAGCTCAAAAAGAGAACGTTAATGAGATTGATTGGGTCTCGCAATTAATTCCTTTATTACCTCACGATGTAGCCCAGTTAATAGTAAAAGAAGCCAGCGGATAAAGGGGATGATTATCAGCATGTTAAGAAATTACTCATGCAGAGATTCAAGCTTAGTTCTTGGGCACTAAAAACAAAATTTGAAGAACATTCTAAAAAAAACGGAATGTTATGGGTGGATTTAGTGTATGAATTGAGAGTGTATTTAGAGAATTGGTTGGATTCAGTAGAAGTTCAAGATTTTGAAAGTCTTAAGGAACTTATGCTCACCGAGCAAATTAAGCGGCGAGTCCCTCTAGAAATAAGAGAGCACTACTTAGACAATTGGGAAGAATTTAAAACAGCTTCTATTTTAGCAGAGAAATGCGACAGGTATGAGGCTTTGCAAAGAGATATGAGGAAGTTAGAACAGAGAGCGAGGTTAAAGAAACCATTTGAGAAAGATAGAGAGCGGTATATAAATTCTAACTGTAGTTATAATCAGAAAAAGTAGTGGTCATCAAAAGAATTAAATCAGAGGAGCATAGAAAAAGTGGAGGCTCCTAAAAAAAGGCAAGTTTTCAATGAAGCAGGTTTTCGAGAAACAGCGGAAAATAAGGTGTTACCAATGTGGAAAGGACGGGCATATCCGACCTAACTGTCCTTCGCTGGAAAAGAATAAGGCTAATCTGGTGAATAATCTAGGAACGGGAGTTTTAGGAAAATGTTTTGAGCCGTATTTCAAGAAAGCAGTAATTAATGGGATAGAGAGAGAATATCTGAGAGATACTGGAGCTGGTATAGATCTGTGTAATAGTACTTGGATTAATACTAATGACTTATTAGGGGAAACTGTATGGGTGAAACAGCCTTTGGACACAGAAGTGTAAATGTTTACCTTTGGCGAAAGTCACCATTGAAGGTGATTTTGGTGTGGTCACTACAAAGGCAGCGGTTACTCCGGTAGAGTTAGATAAAGAGTACTATATGAGGGGTATTTGTTAGGGAATAAAACTGCACAGTTGATTGAGGAAATTAGGGAAACGACCGGTTTCTCTTGAATGTTTCTTGCTGTTGGAGACTCGTAGTCAGGCGCATGCGCGCAGGAGTTTAGAGAGAGTGAGTGCAAAAGACTTTGATTCCAGATCGGAAGAAGAGAAAGAGATAGAAATTGAAAGGGTTGTGAATAATGAGCTTTCGGAAGAAAGGAAGTTAACCTAGTAATACAGGAGGAGGCCATTAAAATTCCAGACATCAGTTTAGAAGGAAAGGTCTATCCTTGCGGATGTTTCGCCAGCAGAATTCTCGGAAGCACAAGCAACAGAAACTCATGATAATGTTCAACACCAAACAAAATTTATTATATCGCATACTGAAGGAACAGACAAGATCTGCAGAATTTCGATATTCGAAAAAACCACTTCTATCAAGACGTTTTCTTCTGAGAAATTGCTTCCAAATAACCTTGCTGTAAAAATGATGTTCAATTATAATGCTGAATCAAATGCATATGCTATATGGCGTGCAATGTATAAGGAGACATTACCAGCCATTGTCGAGTTTTCTTTGGATGAACTGACAAATCATAAAGTCAGGAAAAAGAAATTGGGACCTCATCCAAATATAGTTGTAAATGTTGAAGAGTGTTCTGTCTCAGTGATTGATTATTCGAGATCAGATCTACGGACAGCAGGAACTTTAGCATATGAAGTATATGGAGGAGCCAATCCTTTTTATTCTGTGAATTGTGATTTGAAAAATGATTTTGTAGCGTTTTGGAATTATAGTTTTGTAGATTTAGATTTGTTTGCATAGTGTGTTTCATTTTCAAAATGGTTAGAATCAAATGTTTAAGTATTAGCATTTTGTAAACTGAAAAGGTACTTTGTATAAGGTAGACATTCAAAGTAGTTTAAATCTTTTGTTGTATTCTTGTTTTTATGTTTTTGTCTCATTTATGTTATCTAGAAATAAGTGCAGGGTAATATAACTGGCTTCTCTATTATCACTTAAATCAGGTTACCAACTTGTGTTTTGAAAGCAGTGAAATGTATTTAGAATTTTTCCTTCCATAGTCAAGAAAAATTTCTTTATGAGGGGAGGAGCTGTGATAAGGTTACATAAAAGAAAAAGAGACTGAAGATTTATATGGTCAAGGATGTCTCGTGAGCATAAGCTGAAAATTATTATTTTTTAACTTACAAACACGTTTTCAATAGTTGTTAAAATAATTTTATTAAAATAATTAAATCGTTGGCAATGTTAAAAACGCAAGCTCGAGAGCCACGAATTGCTCTCGCACGTAAAATGTATAGAATTTGATTTTTGGTGATAGATAGGTTTTTCTCTGCAGAATTGTATGTAGCCATTTTTTTGCGTTCAATAAAATTTTTATGCTGTGTTTTGTTTTGAACCTGATGTCACAACCCAGGTTTTGCATAGCGGTTTCGGCCACTACACCACAGTACAAACAAACAGACAGACGCTCACATATTTTAACAGCATAAAAAGTGCATCTAATTGATGATAAAATACATGCTAAGAATGCATTTCTTTTGCACATTCTGTAACGAATACTTTCCCAGACATATATTACAAGATCTCATGTACTAAGAAGACATTTTCAAAGATTCATTTACTATTTTTTCCGATACTCTTGTGATACATTATAAGCATTTATTTTCATTTGCATATACACCATAAATTACTTCTGTAAATATAATAATTTTAAAAATATCAGCAGAATTTAACATTGTCATCAGTAATTCCAACTGTGGTCGTGTGACTAAGAATACTGGCAGTTGATCAGTCGGAAGCTGAAAAAGTTGGCCGGATATGTATTTTTTTCCTGCTCCTCATGTTTAATATAAATGGAAACTTGGTCCCCTTAGAATTTCCTTTCCCAAAAAGACTTCTCTCCCTCCTCTCCTCTCAAGCGAGCAGACAACCCGAGTGCTTTAATGTAATAAGATAGTCTAATGTAATCTGATCACTAATTTAATATGTGTGAATGTCTCATAAAGTGTCTATTTTATGAAGTAACATTATGTGATGCATAATTTTATTTTAATGTCAGTTAATTTAAATGTTTGAAATTAATATTAGAACTTGATGCTAATTTATTTACGTGGAATTATGAGTTAAATGAGCTATGAACATTAAAAATTAAAAAAGTCTCCTTCTAAATGAGAATCTTTTTTAAACTTGAAGAGTACGATTTTTAGACCGCTCGCGTTTACTGTCTTTGCCTCCACCATTAAAACACAGAAGCATAAACCTTCACAAAACAAAGCACAGGTTCCCACATCCAGTGTTAATGAAAAGGCATAAGGCAGTCTTGTTACTTTTAAGCCTTCTCTTATAATGCATATATTCTCCTGTGTCTCTAAAAATGCCATCTATTATTTTATAGAATTTCAAGGTTCAACAACGAAGGTTACTCATTTATGAGTTAGAAACATGTATCAAGATACTTTTTATAAATTCCATAAACTCATAGTCCAAAAAATATAAATATTAGTTATGGAATTGGTATTTAAGAACTTGAAATTAGTAATAGCAATTACACATTCGTAAATTTTGTGTGAAGTTTATTTATGACACTAATTGGCAATACCTTTCCTTCATACAGACTCTGTGCATGGAGATATAGTGCCTTGTCCTAGAAGGAATTTTTGTCTAAATGGTGGAGTGTGCTACCTTTATGCCTCAATCCAAGAATACATCTGCGAGTAAGTGTTGCTTAGATAGTTACATAAATCGCATAAAATGTTCACTAAATGAATTTAAAAATATGTAAAAGTACAATTCAAGAACTCTAAATTTCGTGAATTCTTTAAAAATAACTATGTCTTTCACTTATCACAAGTGATAATAATTATTCAACAGTTTACAGATAATTTTGTTTTCTAAATACTCATTGCAAGTATGCACAGTGGTGAAACATATCAAAAACTTCAAATGTGTATCGAAAATTTTTTAAAAAGGAATACTTTAAGAAAAGTAAAATTTAAAAAAGGAAGGTTAAAGAAAGAAAAGCTAAAGCATAAATTTTAATTATAGTGGAATCGATAAAAAAGTAGAACAAAATAGGATGTGAATTAAAACAAAGAATTATGCTACTCAAAAGACTTACTTTCATGTACTGCAAGTTGAAGTAGTTCAAAGCTTTGAAAAGAAATGAACAGGATTTTATCCCTCATTTTAAAAAACTTTAAATGAACTACAATCCAAAATATGCACAGAATTCTTAACACGTTTAGCCAGAAGAAAGTTCTGATTGCTCAGAGACTTTCAGAGGGACTGCAAACAAAAATAAGACACAAACAAGAGGGTGAGAGAGGTTTTGAGAGATAGCGAATATCCAAATCTTCAAGAATGACTCTAAAATTCCGAATATGAATATACTGTGATATTCCGTTTAAAACAGTTTAATCGAAATGGCTCAAACAGTAATAGCATCACATACTGATTTTACTTGGGAGATTAGGCTTTCAGCAGAAAATTAGATAGATGTTTGACAAGATTATTGTTCAGATCCTTTAAATAGCATCGAAAACAGGGCAATTTACTGGAGTAACTACAAAGGGTTTTATCATAACCTTGATTTTATAATCACCTGGAATAAAAAAAAATATTTATTTGTGCATATTATGTATACTATTACGCCAGTGTGCGTGTGCATATATATATATACACACATTCTGTGGCATAAAAAGGGACACACCAAGAATAAGTTATCCGAATGGGGCGAAAATCGGTGGATGCGATGTACATATATTAAAAAAGAAACGCTAGCAGTATTATAGGAATTGAATGTTTTATCCAGGAAGTACATATACAAAAGAAAAAAAAAAAGTCAGTAATGCTGTAGTTGGTCATTGATTCATAGAGGTGGAGGATGTCCTCTTGCAATATTGCTTTCCATACACATTCCGGTTGCGAGTTAGATCGGCGAGATCCAGGATTGTCGGAAACGTCTGCTACTCAAAGCCACACGTCCTTAAGAACTGGCAATGGCACCGGCCAGGGAATTGTTAGAAAACACGATGACAAGCCATAGAAAGGAGTGCCGCCGAGTATTATCGTATTGAAATATAAACTTGGGCTGCGTGAAAGGAAGCGCGACATTACCGAGTGTAGAATATAGTCGGCGTACCTCCATGCTGTAAGGATGTCATGGACGACAGCCAAAGGGTTCCAGCTATCAAATGAAATGGAACCCCATACCATAATTCTTAGTTGTTGGGCTGTGTGGCGGACTACAGTCACATGAGTATTCCACCCCTGTCCTGAATGTCTCCAAATACGTTTTCGCTAGTCATCGGGGCTCAGCTGAAAGCGGAATTCATTGCTCAAAACAATTATTTTCCAGTCCGTAAGATCCCAGGTCAAATGCGCAAGACACCACTGCAAACGTGCCTGGTGGTGTGCAACGGTGAGGGGCACTTCAACTCAGTGGCTTCCGTGATTTCAGCCCCGCTGAGTCATTGTTGATAGTCACTGCAAACCCCGGTGTCCTGGTTACACGTCGGATCGTTGATAAGGATGCAACAGGAGCTGTGATCGCCAATCGGATGGTCACTCTGTCCTGGCGTTCTGTCGTTGATCTCGCTCGACCGCTATCTTCCTGATACTCTGTGCGAGTTTATTCACCCTATCCATACAACAGTGTGATTCAAATGTCAGGCATTGCTGCGATTTGACAGCCCTGCTTCCTTTGGTCCAATTGATCGTTTTTTCTTAAATAGTGGCATATGCTCATACTGTTCTCAGATCCATCTGCGAGACACTGGCATAGTTCACGCGGACCGCCGGAACTACTAAGGCATGAACAGCCATACCTCAGCATTGGAATGTCCTCTGCATCCAGATGCTCCGTTGCAATGCGCTGAAGTTCCAGCTAGACAGTTATTGGCCGCCAAAAGTTTGCTTATTTTATCGTAAGGTATGGCCATACACAGTTTTGCCCCATTCGGATAACTCTATCTTGGTGCGTTGCTTTTTAAGTTATAGAATGTATACATAAGTTAAGAACTAAAAATCACTACTCATGCAGGACATTAATTTTTTTTTAAAGCAAATTTAGATCATACTCAAAATCTCAAGACTATGCAATGTATATAAAACAAAATTAATGAAATTGTGTGAAACCTTAGGCTAACATAAAGTAATATGCTTCAGCAACTTGCTAAAAAGTTGAAAAGTAAACAAATGTAACAGTTTGAAACAATTTAAACTCACATCTTCGGAGTGCAAAAGTTTAAAATTTAGTCAAATAAATAGAAAAAAGGTAAAAAAAAAAAAAAAAAAACTTACTCCTTTCAATATTTTGCTAAATTTTTAAGGAATTTTAAGCTTGACCGGATGCGTTTTATAGGGTTGTCATGGAAGCGAGTAAAGATTACTAACTTGGCAAGCAAATTGATGAAATAATGTGTAAGCGGAAGATTTGCAAATAGTAAAATGGTAAAAAATAATAATTATGGCAAGAAAAGTGAGTTGAAATCGAAAATGCAACGGAAAAAAAATCAGCATAAGTTCTTCACACTTCTCGGCTTCGAGGTGGCTCACTGGAAATTGAAATTTCCAGTGAGCCACCTCGAAGCGAAAGAAGAAAAAAGAGAGAAAATATTAATAAAAAATTATATAGTTACGAATCCATAAATTTAAAAGTTACACATTCCCTCTATTCTCCTCTTGTTTTCGGTTGGTTTCGGTTCTTCTTGGTTTCGGTGCATCATTTAATAACTTTCAATGTATAGGTGATAGTTAATGCCAAATTTTTTTTTAAAAAAAGAAGTTAATGAAATTATTAAGTATTTTATTGTTTTGCAGTGTATTGGCAAGGAGAAAATTTCTTCTCGCAGATCTGAACAATTTATTAAAAAAGTCTTCTTTCATCAAAAAGCTTAATTTGCCTATAATTAAGTATTTTGAATCTAGATAGTCAATGTGCTATTAATTAGAATTAGGGTAAATTTTGCTAGCTTCAATAATTCCAAAATTGTCAACTGAAATAATGTCGTCAATTTACCTGTAGGTGAAAGAAAATGCTTGTAATGGGAAATCAGCTGCTTTTTGTTAAAAGGTGACATACACACACATATTTATACATACATGAAGCTGAAAAAACAATGGCAATTATAGAAATCATAGTAAAACAATTTCGTTGTGAAAGCTATCGTTAAACCTGAATGCACCGTAGTTTAAACGACATTCATGCAAAAAGTTAAGTTAAAGATCAGTTAACCACACGCTTTTAAAAGAAGAGCGACAGGCATTCAATTTTATAAAATGTTAAATTACTTTTACTAAAGAATTAATATTATTTGACACCTATATAAATTATTGGTCATTAAAGCTGATATGTCACGAATAAAGTGAACAATAGACCTGAAATTTGCAAGAAAGATAGAGCCTACTGGCATATTCAAATGATTACCATGGCATGGAATATGCATATCATAGGCAAAAGTAAGTACCTATAGTGCCAGAATAAGCAGACTGAAATGTAGATTTGTCATTCTAAAAAGATCGCTTGATTTTCTTTTGTTTCAGATGTAGTGTTAGGCATCGTATAAGAAGGAACTCCTACCATCGCGTCTCAGAACAAGATTGTTAAAGAATCGTAGCCTATCGAATTACTATACCACGTAATTGCTGCTCGCATTAGTGGAGTTCCAATAACTGAAAAATCAAAGATAATTTAATAATCCAAGGTCTAAGAAAACCACGCAGAGCGATGTACGGGATCTCGACGATCCTCGCGTATTAATACAGAAATCTTGTAACATTACGAGAGACATACTGTAACATTATTAGTAAAGATCATACAACCACATCATGAAACATGGGTCAGAGAATTGAGTATGTTGCACAGTACCAATTATTCTAACATCTGCTGCGACAACATCTACAGTGTTATAGACTATCAACAATTTACTCTTAAACACAGGAATCTGAGTCTATAGTGCTTCGTTAAGCGACTCGGAAGGGCATATCAGTGGGATACATCATAATTTCTGACAAATCTCGCTTTTGCTTACAGCTTCATAATGGTCATAGCTGTAGCCGTGTGTTCAGGCACCGAAAGGAACAAATGATCGTTTTCATCTTTAATTCGCATATCTGGAGCTTTGACCAGCCACTGTTCCATAACATTTAATGTCCGTGGTTTTGTCATATTTTCGGGGTTTTTATCACTCCAACTTTCAATAAAACATTGCAAGACCTCACGTTTGCCGTTGCTGTGCTACGTTTCAGAATATTCGACTCTTGCTTTGGATATCGCTTTCTCCTCATCTCTAACAAGCTGAAAACGTCTGATCAGTAATTTCAAAGAGTGGAAAGATAACACTTGTCAGACAATACGACAGATGATCTTTGGCCCAGATTTGAAGTTGCGTGGATTATTATATTAATAACTACCATCCAAAATCTGTTTGACTTCATGCCTAACCGAATAACAGTTCGGTCCAGAGTCTCAGTGTACTTGAAACTTTAATCATTTCAGCTCATCATATTTATATTACATGTGTATTTAAAATATTTGCAAAGAGAGGAATGTTCAAAAGCTGTTGCTAAAACGTACATTTGACACTGTAGTTCCTGAGTAAAATAGTTATGAAAAATAAGAGGATTTTAACTCTCTTGTTCATGTTATCTTTCTACTTACATATATATTAAAATATATATGCAATATAAATATGATAAACAGTGTAATTATGCATTTAGTTTGATTCTCGGTGCTTAATTTCTAAAATTAGAAGGGCAGCAGCTCTATGGAAGACCGTCAGGAAAAGGGTGCAAAAATAAATAAATAAATAAAATTACTAATCAAATCATTAGTAATTAAATGATTAATTATTAAAACAATTAAATAATCGATAACTAAAGTAATCAAAAATTAATTAATTATTAATATCATTAAATAATCAATGATTAAAGTAATTAAAATTAAAATTTAACAAAATGTAAACAGATAAATTTAAAATAAATAAATAAGATAAATTGAGATCAAATTTCTGTCGAAAAATTGTTCAGTTAGAAGTACCGTAGCCTTCTTATTTAGGGCTCCGGTGTGCTCCGACTGGAATTAGGATTTATTGCAAAAACTAAGAAGTAACGGAGCCGGGCTACGGTGGGCTCCAGCGCAATTTAAGCTCTATTGATTCTGTACATTAATTTGAAATTACACCGTCAATTCTTAAATAATTATTAATTTTCCTTTCCACTTAATTGGATGTAACCCAGAAGCATCAATTTTAGTAACTCAGAAAATGAGTATATATATATAATGTTGAATGATCTAAAATTCACTTTGTTCGAAAACAAGTTTTTCTAATACTTGCGCAATAGCTGCAAAGAGTAAGATAATAATAATTTATTTACTAATTAAATATTGATTATATTGCCTCCTAATATAAATTTAGTAGAAGTATAAAAAAAGAGGGAACCCATATGTAGGAAGTTGAATTCCAAAAATTGTGCTTTAAAGTAACTTGAATGTAAATCATGAAAAAAAAAAAAAAAAAAAAAAAAAATTTTTTACGGGAACTTAAATTTAAATCATGAATAACAAAATTTCAAACTTTCGAAAAAAAAATTAAAAATTAAAAACAAGTAATTATCGCTATTGATCGGAAATTAGTTAACTTTTCAAGGGGAATAAACTCCCGTTCAATGAACAACTTGTAGTTGTTCCTTGTTGTAGTTAATATTGTTGCAATTCTACCCCACCCTTAAGTCCCGTTCAATGAACAATAATTAATGAATGCGAAGGTGTTTCGTCTTTTACTCAAGTAAGAATGATGATGCCAAACTGGCAAATGAAGTTGGACCAAAATTATAGTTCCATGAAGTGATGGGATTTATAACCAAAGTTGAGTACCAAAGAATTCATTCTGAATGAAGCATTTTCGATTCCTTATATAAGATTCCGATTCCTTATAAATTTTGAGTGAAAAACAATTTATGTAGTAAAATTTACAAAATACCTGAGTAATTGTCCCACGACACCTTCGCTTTTATGCATTTTAATTCAAGACTAAAAATGAACCTATTTCATAATCTTTAGTTTGTCAAATAGCTCGTTGACAGTGAAAATTACTTTTTTCCTTTTCTAATTTTCTTCCTCGTTCCGACACGACAATTAGCCAGAAATTAATTAATTTTCATTCACTAGTCAGTATATTAAAAATTTTAACAGACTTTTTCACTCACATAAGAACTCAGCAACAAACTTCCCTCAAACATTCCTAGTCCCTCCCACGTCCCATAAATTACTTCTCACAAGTTTCACCGCCTGAAACAATTCAAAGTATCCCCGCTGCCGATAACGGAATTTCGGACACACACCGCTTCTGAATAAGACACAGAAGAAAACACTTTAACGACATCCCCCTAAAAAGAACGTAAGTTAATTAATGCATTTTCTGGCCTTTTATAGCTTCACATTTTACTTTCATTGTATATATTTCAGTTTTTCCCTTTTTATTTGATTTGTTTTTGCAAAGATAACATTGTTATGTTTCTTAATTTTCTCATGTTTATTTCAATTACCTTGAGTTCTATTTCATAATTCCAATTAAGATTACTACTGTTTATTTTTATACAAATGATCTTGAATTAACATGCATAAAAGCGAAGGTGTTGGGAAGACATTTACTCAAGTATTTGGTAAATTTTACTACATAAATTGCTTTTCGCTCAAAATTTATAAGGAATCTTGTATTAGCAAAAATGCTTCATTCAGAATGAATTATTTGGTACTCTACTTTCGTTATAAATACCATCACTTCAGGGAACTATAATTTTGGCCTAATTTAATTTGCCAGTTTGGCATCATCATTCTTACTTGAGTAAAAGACGAAACACCTTCGCATTTATTAATTATTGTTCATTGAACGGAGTTGGTTTGTTCCCTTTGAAAAGTCAACTAATTTCCGATCAATAGCGATAATTACTTGTTTTTAATTTCTAATTTCTTTTTCAAAGTTTGAAATTTTGTTATTCATGATTTAAATTTAAGTACCCGTAAAACATTTCTTTCATAATTTACATTGAAGTTACTTTAAAACACAATTTTCGGAATTCAACTTCCTACATATGGGTTCAGTCTTTTTTGATACTTCTACTAAATTTATATTAGGAGATAATATAATCAATATTTCTTTAGTAAATATATATATAAATATTATTACCGTAACTATGAATTATTTTACTTCTTGTCGTAAGTAACAGCATGTTAAAAATAAATTTATTTTTGCCAGATGCGCGGAAGGTTATACAGGACAAAGATGTGAAAAAAAAGCCATTTCAACTTTGAGTAGTAAGTATTTATTTTATAAGACATTTACAGTTTTTTTCCCAAATACTTATTTATTTTTAACCTTTTCCTTAAGCACTTTTCTTTATTACATGCACCATTTTATTATTATATTACGGTGCTGAAGTACAATAAAGCGGATTTTAAGCTTTATTAGAGAAAGAATTAATCTATTTCAGCAAATTCTTTAGTGAAAGTAATGCAACAGAAGGAAATACCTCTGTAAAATCTAATAGATAAATAGTAGATATGTAAAATGGGGATTTATTTTGTACATTTTCCACGCTTTTAATACAAAGAATACAAGTATCGTGTAAAACCATTCTTTAAAAGTTATTGGGAAGAATACCTAACATTTTTTTCTTAGTTCCAGAGCAAAACTTGCAATATGGGGTATGATTCTGTATGCGCATGTATTAACTTGCTTGCATACATGCATGTAAAATTGTAAATTTCATAGACCATATGAGTTACGAATGTTCGCAAGTAGGTCTAGTTTGTAAACATAATTTCAATTCAAATTGCCAAAAGTAAAATTTAAAGCAATTCTTTTTTATCTTCTGGTATGGTATAAACTGGCAAAATCTGATAAATAAGTAATACTTTTTAATGCCTTAATTATGTAGAAAAATTGCACACATTTTAATCACAATGACTCAAAAAATACTTGCGGGAATTTATATCGATTTAATTTCCATAAAATCTTTTTATTAATAGTAACATCTAAATGTGGGTTTGTAATTCTTAATACAAATTTTATAATACCATTTGTATTCTAACTCAGCCACAGTGATGTTACTTATTTTAACAATAATTTCCGTGTTAGTACACATACATTATTCTAATAAAAAAATCTAAGTAATTTCCAAAATCAGTTTGCTTCACTAAATTGTCTAATTGTATGCTTATTGTGAATGCACAGCGATGCTTAAATTTTTCCAATTACTAATTGCACTAACCGAAAACTATTCAAGACAAGTAGTGTGTACTGATAATATCAAACCCAAGCTATTAAAATTAAAACCGTGTTTATTATTCATACTGCCTCTCCATCTCAAGTTTAATTTAATAATTTGAACATTAACGAAGTACAAAACAAGTATTAGTGACTTTTATGAAACATTTTCTATATGCACCAAGGTCATGTTTAAATTAGGCCAGAATAAAAACCAATCATAGATCTAAATCGATAAGAATAACCCTATGTTTTAGAATAAGGTCATTTTTATCATAAATAAAATAAAAATTGTAAATTTCTGAATCTAAGACAGTATTATAAATGCTACATAGAGATTGCATGAGTTCCTGTTATCTTTGACCAGACTTTGTGCTATTTTTAAACATAATTTTCTATTCATGCAACTGGCTTTCTATATTAAATATTATCAAGGCAAGATAACCTTATTTTATTTGGTTATTTCTTTCATCAGGCAGATGCTTTAACATTTTATAGCTGCCCGAAAAATGAAATAATTGTATGATATTGTTACGAAATGTACAGGCGCGGTAAGATGGCTTCCCCGCTCAATAAACAAACTTGGCTGGTTTTCAGACAATGCCCATTTAATCCTCTAATGGTTAGTTGGGAGTTGATTGTATTTATTTTTTATTATTTGATAAAATATTGATTTGGACACAAAAATTATTATTAGGATTTCAAAATAAATAATTAAAAAATTTTTTAATTGAACAAATAAAAATTACTCATAAAAATATAAAAATACTGTAAAGAATGCCTTTAAAAAGGGCTGCCTACGATGTACCCTTGTGCGAGGTTGTATTTCAGCCTCTTTCCCATAAAATCTAATAATTTGCGAATTAAAATTTAATTTATTTCAAGAAATTTCTCATTATTTAGCCATAAAAAAATCATCTAAACAAAAAAATTTTCTCAAAAATTTAAGAACATTTTGAACTAGCTTTGCCATTGATTATATACTTTTATTTTTTCTAGTTTTAGCTGTTACAAAATTTTTAATCAGATCTTTTCTATGTGAAATATTCATAACATCCTTTCCCACTGACTTTCTCCTGGTAGCTATTTATTCATAATTAAGGTTAAATAAATACGCAGTCCTATGTATCTATTTGAAAATCATCTTTTAATTTATATCCATCCATATAGAACCGTAGATACTGACTTATTTGATTTTAAAAAGATTTTTCACATAAAAAAAATCAGGCGTTTGTTGGTATTCTCATAATAGCTTAATTAGTTAACCAAATTTATTTAAACTATAATTTGTCATAATTAAATAAACCTCGCGTGCTGTACTGTAATGTAAATAATCTACTCTAATCTAACATTTTGTTAAAGCAATGATTTCTATTCATTTTATATTTGTAACATAACATAAATATTGCAACTCTGTAATATGTTACTAATTACGGAAATAAACAGGCTAAAAATGTTCATATTGGCTTCTTTTCCCACCTGTCTTTTCTTAAATGGCTTGGTCAAGTTGCTCATGCACAGTGCTGAATGAAGGTATTATCATTGCCCAGGCAAATGATACATCTATCGCCCATTAACACGATACCGAGACCTGGGAGGCTGAGGTATTTGCACACTTTTATCAGGCTCCTAGGCTGGTAGTCACATCCTGTGTGTAACTCGTGCGGAAAAGAACATATCGTTCCTATCATATCATGGCAAAATCAGAAGAGAGAAAAACCTCGTGAAATAGAGTAATGAACCTCTCGCACATACAGGTCGATAGGTCAGTTCAATCGCTCAGATGTGCAATGTCCGAAGGTGATGAAAAAGCAATAATGGCTACTGGCTCAGGTAAAGAAAGTCTATGTAACAATACATATTCTTTGGCTCAGCTAACATGAATAATTTTGCAGAGCCGATGGAATGGCATGCTATTATCAGGGCATCAGTGGCTCAAATGGTCGATGCATGGGTGGAGAGAGAAGTCCTTTGACCAAGTGGGCGGAGCTACTGGTGTAAAAGATCCAATGGTGTACCGACACCTGGAAAACACCGTATACAGATTAGTATTTTGAAGAGTTTGAAGCTCCGTCGAAATAAATGAAACTCGCTATATTTAGCTGAGGCTGACCCCTTAGTCTTTGGAATAAAGTTCTGCTTCTTAATTAACAACTTGAAATAAAACTTTATTATTATAAACTTCTTTAAAATGGCAGCCCTTCCGATCAGGCGCCTTTGTGCTAGGCACAACGTGGGAAGATCAATCTGACTCATTCGATTAGCGATAGGATTAGTTTGACTATATGCTACAGTTTGACAGCACACTCCAATTAAATAGAAATATAATCCTTACATGTACACCTGATTACTTTTATATGTTATTGTTACGCATATATGCTAACCTTTACACGTCCACCCCGAATATCCCGAATCACATACCGAAGACAGAAAGCTAACAAAATATACAAACTGCTAATTATAATTGTTTTCTTTTTTTCCTTTTGTCGATGGGCTATCAACAGCTGAGAGGATAACACCATGAACTGTGGTTGCTTGGCCAGGGTTCAAATGCCGGAGAGCGGTCATGATTTCGGCCTGGTATAAATCCGAACCAGTATCCGATACAAAGTCTTTCATGAAAACATCTGCCAGCATCAAAGCTTTTTCCCGAATATAAAGAAGCACAACTTCTATCTTATCGTTAAGAACTGCAAATTCCACTTTAAATCCCAAATTTTTAGTGTTAGTTAACCAGTATAGCTTAACATTTCTATTTTTCGTGAAGTCTTATTATAGCGTTTATCACCCATGCTACCTTACCAATATTGCTATACCACATGTAATAACATTCCTATGCAGTAACATCGGCATGGCAGACTGTTGTTTGTAAGAGCTGTTGTCATTCGACTTAATCATAAGACTTTTAATTTGCCTTTGAAATTAAAATTGCGCATTGCTTAACAAAATGAGCGATTTAAAATCAGTATACAATCGACACCCGTTTAACGGGTAATACCGAGTATGAAGGTCAAGCTTAACATAAAACACGATTAACCCAAAAGTAGTTAAAAAAAAATACAAGAAGAAAGAATAATTTATGTTACAATTTACTGAAAAATCTATTAACAGTTTCCTGTATTTTGAAGCTGTTTAATACAGAGAATTAGTTCATTTGCAGACCTAAATTAAGTCAGTGTTCAATGCAATAAGAAAATATTGTAAATAACAAAGATTATTAAAAATGAGGAAATTAAGTCATGAACAGAGTAAAAAACAATATTTACGAAAGAATTTGGGCAATGTCATAAAATTAAATTCACATTAAAAATCGTTTAGAAATTTTAAATTTTTATTGTACAGTGTTTATATATTCCAGATTAAGTACTATTAAATTATGCACCGTTGTGGATAAAAATAACTGTCAGTATATCACCATTTACTATCATTCCTGTTCACCGTAAGTAATTTTCTTTTTCTTTTTTTTTTTTTTTTTTTTTTCATTTCCTTAGAGATGATTTTCTTTTACGCCAGTACTTTGTGAAATTTGTCCATCGTTCCCTAATAAAGTCAACAGCTTTTGTTTCGGCGGGGCTCTGTTAATCCACATCCCAGTTAATATGAATTGCACTGTATACGCTATTTATTTATTTCATTTTTATAGAAAATCCAGCTGCTGCAATTCTGCAATACAGCCACCTGAGGAACTTTATAAACATTCGTACAATTAGGATAATTAATAAAAAAATATTTGTTCCTAACCTTATACATTACACATCTCATGATCATTTGTTCTGACGACTAAAAACGAGTTTTTCAATTTACCATTTCTCTATACCAGTTGGATACTTTCATTGCTTATGGACTTTAAGGGAGGTTTCATAAAAATAACATGCTTTCATCATTCTGTTCGATAATTAAAGTCTTTCCCCCCCCGCCCCTAAGAGTTCAATTTCCCCCCCCCCATGGTTAATGTTTTCTTTCCGTTAACGAAACCTCCATTTCGACATCGAGTATAATAAAACTCTTATTTAGTTTTAAACGTTAATGAGAATTACCGCAAACGGGTCCATTAAAATGATATGACTAGTAAATGTTTAAAAATGTTTACTTCGGGTGATAATTTATAAAAAATAGTAGAATTAATTTTGCTATTTTTTCCCTTTTGGTCCTTCACCTGTAGATGCGCTGAAGGCTCCTCGTGATTTGAATGCCACTACTCGCTTGCTGCAACACTACTGGGGTAGATGAGGGGTAAGCTTAAATCTTTTAATAATTTTATCCGATAAATTTAATAAAATACAAACAGAAATTTTTCTTTGACAAATCTGATACCGATTTTCTTTCCTATGATATCAATTTATTGCTTCTCTTATTCCGCCAACCTACGTACATAACTTCAATTTCTAAAACTTAAAAGTAGAAATTCATTATTTCTTCATTAGACGGTTAAGTTATTCCATTTAATGTACCAACGTCTGTTAAGTAAACGTAATTTTGAAATTGAATTAAATTAGCTTTGTTATTTAATTAGTTAATGAGAAGGTGACTGTATTTTCAAGCACAGTGACTAAACTATTGCAATTAAAATGCCAGATCAGGAAATACTAAAAACCAGTATCTGGGTTTAAGCAAGAGTTAACTTTCTCCTTTACGTATATTCGGGGGGGGGGGGAATTAAGAAATAAATAAAATGAATTAAATGAAAAAATAAACACCTGTTACAAAAAAATTGCATATATTATAGATAATTCATCTTTGTTTACTCACTTAAAAGTTACACATTAGTATCCATCAGGTTTAAAGTTATGTTCTGACAACAATACTTTGATAACGTAAAAGGAAGAAAATAAGAGAGTAAATTTGAGATTTGGCGTTGATGATTATGATAATGGAGCCAGATTTTTATCACTGGGCTCCACTGTTTATTGAACAGAACATTCTGTTGACACGGCCTGAATATTGCTTAGGCTCACAAAGACAGGCTTAATGTTAAGAACTTTTAAATGCTGAGAGTCCTTGAAAGAAAGAAACTGGGCCTACCCTTATCGGGCTTAGACCAATAATACGATTTTTCAATATAAAAGGTTAGTATGGCTGTCTTTCCAAGCTTCGGTATACGCTGTCAAGTTCAATCTATTTCAATGACATATCAGTTATTAATGTTCAGATTACAGTGATCTCGATATTAATATCTCAGGTATCACTAAGCTCTTAAAAATTTCACAGAAAAAGGGGAAAAAAAGTTAGTTTTCGTCAGAGACAGAAAAGGGTTAAATTTAAAACGCTTATTTCTCAAAAACTATCATTTCGTTTAATGCAGTAATAATATGGATTCGTAACTTGAAATTTTGAGGTATAGAGGCAATTTCAAAAATATTCATACCTTCAGACAGATACAAAAAATATAGCTGCTGTTTTGTGTATCCAAATTGTAGTTTGAACTGGGGAGAAAAAAAAAAAAAAAAAAAAAAAAAGCAATTCTATAGCTCCCCTTCTAACTTGCTTTAAAAATTTTAACTTTTATATCCCAAGCCTTGCTTTTTTTCTTCTCTCGAAAGCGCGGCTTGGGATATATATTAGATTTACAGATAGCATTGTTCTAATATAGGTATTCTTGACATAAAATCGGAGTTTTTCTGAAATGACATTCCTATTTTTTCCACATTTCGAATGTATGATTCAAACTATGCCGATAAATTTAATAAATAAGTTTTGTAAAAATTGCTAAGTTTTGTAAAAATTGCACGAGTAGTTCTTAAAAAATTAGCTGTGAAAATTTTAGCGCCCCAGTGTTAATTGAATTTAGTATATATTTATTAATCTCTCTTTTTTTTTTTTATTAAATTTAGATTCTTTCTCGATTCAAAAATTTAGGTTCAAACCAAATAAAATTCGCAGGTATTTTCTCATTTATTTTTTTTAATTTAAGTAATTTTTTAAAATTTTTGCAAGAGATTTTTGAGTTACAAAATCCTTACCATCACGTCAAAGTATATCTAAGCATACCTGAAAAAAATTAGAGTTTTTGTTCCAAATTTACAAAGATATACATGAATTTACATATTGGCGAGTTTTGAAATTTAGCACATTTGTTATAAGCGATAATAACCCCAAATGTGGCTTAAGCACTTAAAATAGAAAAGAATAAACGATAATAACTTACAAGAATAAAAGATGCATCATTTTTTTTATTCTCTTGCATAACGAAAGGGAAAAGAAGATAGGTTACCATGAGTTAAGAAAGTTAGTGAAAATTACAAAGTGAATTATTCTTGGCGCAGACTGAAAAAAGTGCGCCAAGATAAATTTTTAAATTTCTGGGTAAGTTTCTCACCAAATTTTACAAAATTTAATATTTAGGCATATTTTGAGTCGTAGAATCGAAATATGGAAAAAGTCAATATCTCATTTTAGAAGAGCTGTGCATTCGGTAGGGAAAATGACCGACTGTGACTCTGACTCCTGGAATTTTAAAGACTCCGACTCGACTTCGACTCCATGCTATAAAAAGAGAAGATGTCGGGGGACAATACTCAAGTATTTTATGAATTTTACTAAATAAATTGCTTTTCACTCAAAATTTGTATTAGCGAAAATGCTTAATTCAGAAAGAGTTCTTTAGTACTCTTCTTTGGTTTTGAAACCCATCAGTTCACGGAACTATTTGGCCTAACTTAATTTGCCAGTTTAGCATCACATTTATTACTTGATGAAAAGACGAAACACCTTCGTATTTATTAATTATTGTTCATTGAACGCGAGTTGGTTTGTCCCCTTAAAAAGTCAACTAATTCCCGATCAATAGCGATTATTACTGGCTTTTAATTTAATTTCTTTTTCAAAGTTTGAAATTTTGTCCCCCTAAAACATTTTTAACAATTTACATTCAAGTTACTTTAAAACACAACACAATTTACGGAATTATACTACCTACATATAGGTTCTCTCTTTTTAGATACTTCTACCAAATTTATATTAGGAGATAATATAATCAATATTTCTTTAGTAAATAAATTATTTTTATCTTACTTTGCAGCAATTGCGCAAGTATTAGAAAAACGTGTTTTCTTCGAACTAAGTGAATTTAAGATCATACAACATATATATAATACAACATATATATATAACAACAATATGTAAATACACTCACGTTTGTGAAAATTGCAACACCATGAAGGACTTACGCGAGTGAGCTCAAATTTTCAGGAAATGCAAAGTAGCGCATGATATGCAAATGATTAGAATTGCAAAAATCCGTAGCGCATGCGTATGCTGAGCAGCGCCTCTGAACGGCTGATGGAATCCGAATAAATAGACGGCTTGTAGCGAGGCGTGTATGGTTATCGGTGGTTATCTGCTAGTGGTAAACGTTAACTCAATCTGTACTTATGCCTCGTCGACGAAAGAGAGCGAGATTTGAACAACTTACAGATTTTGAACGAGGGAGGAATCATCGGCCTTCGTGAAGCTGGATTGTCGTATCGTGCAGTAGCCTCTCGTGTGCAGCGCGTAACAGCAAGCACAGTGATGCGGCGTTTGGAAGCAGTGGACGGACGAGTGTCGGACCAACTCGGAAATCCGGGAGTGGACCCCGAAATGTGACGTCAGCTCGCGATGATAGACACCTGGTCCGCATGGCGCGGACGGACCGTACAGCTTCCTCTAGACAATTGGCAGCACTGTGGTCAATAGCTACAGGTGTTTCATTGTGTGCTTCATCAATTCGTAGACGTCTGCTGCAGTGTAGACTGCGCGCACGGACTCCTTTATACAGGATCCCCTAACGCACGACCATCGCCGCCTGCGGCTACAATGGGCCAATCAGCATAGAGACTGGCGTGCTGATTGGCAGCATGTCGTGTTTTCTGACGAATCCCGCTTTAATTTGTGGTACCATGATGGCCCGCATTCGTGTCAGAACGCTATGCCGGTGAACGCCACCTTCCGGAGTGCATTATCGAACGCCACAGTGGACGAACACCCGGAGTTATGGTCTGGGGCGCCATAGCATATCATAGACGATCTCAATTGCTACGAATTGTGGGCAATCTGAACAGCAACCGGTATATCCGTGAAGTCCTACAGCCCAAAGCTGTTCCCTTCCTTCAAAGCTTGCCAGGCGCTGTATTTCAACAGGACAATGCCCGCCCTCATACTGCTCGGATTGTTAAATCCTTCTTTGCAGCGCAGCAGGTACAGCTTCTTCCTTGGCCTGCGTGTTCCCCGGATATGTCGCCAATTGAACATGTGTGGGATGTCATTGGTCGGCGTCTTGCTCGTGATCCTCGTCCTGTTGCGTCTGCAGACGAACTTTGGGTACGCGTACAAACGATATGGAATGCTCTTCCTCAGTCAGACATTCAAACTTTGTTTGACTCCATGCCACGTCGTGTAGCAGCACTTATTGCGGCGCGTGGTGGCCCACACAAAATACTGATTCTGATCTCTTGTTCTTGTTTGTTTTTGAACATTTTAATCATTTATTTGTACCACTAACCACTCAACTGTGTATTAAATTGCATTCAATTATGACGATTCCTTCTTGGTGTTGCAATTTTCACAAACGTGAGTGTATATACACATGGGTAACAGCTTATTTTTTTAATATAAAAGAAGTAATAGATGCTACAGAAAAAAATTGATGGCATAGCAAATTATTTATATTAATTAGCATTTATTATGAAATGGAAAAACCGGTATTAGTTATTTCTAAGAAATAGTATAGCTTCGGCAAGATCTTTGTTGGAGGGTCATAGATCCGATTTGATAAACTTCAGAGCTGAGAAAAATCTTTCCACACTAACTTGAGGTAGGAGGAAGAGCTGTTACTGTTAGGGCTACTTCTTTTAACTTTTCAGGATAGATTTTTATAAGTTCTAAAAGAGGTGTCTTGCAAGTGCAATCATATTTCTCTATTTCTTCGAAGGCCATGTAGAAATCTTGTTTATATTTTATCATTTTTATATCTGGTTCTTTATTTTCATTCGCTTTGCCTTAGCCTTTTCAATATTATCCAAAAATATTTCTCAAAATCTAATTAATCACTGGAAGAGGATGATAGAGACTCAATTGCATTGTCTGTAGTTTGACTGTCCTGATTCGAATTCTCCAGTTTTTCTGAGAATAATTTCATTCTTAATGAAAGTTCGTAGATGGCTTTATTTGCTTTTTTAATTTGTTCGTCATCCAAGAAAATTCGATGTTTCGGATCTCCATATATTGAACCCAGCAAGATCTCATTGTCTACCGAA